AACATGATGATGCCAAAGCCAACACTTATTTGATTTATGTTAGAAAATATATTCTTGGACTTGACTCGCCATGATAACCTATTTGGTTTAGTCTATGAGAATCTCATACGAGATGGGTACAACCGATCCTTAGACTTGAAGTCATCATGGATATCTTATTAGAGGATTTAGCACTTTGACACACGTTTCGATGGATTTAGTAAAGGGTTGTACGCGGGTGATTTGTTGGGTGTACTAGAAATCTAATAGAGGTTGGTAGATGACTAAGATAGGATATGTCATTCCTTATATACTAAAGAAAGGAATTACAATATGTGTAAACTTGTTTGATTTTATCCTTGTAAACCATAAGCCTTATCCAAATGTGTGTTTCTCCGTTTCTACCCGTGGAGTCATCACGGTAGGTACAATCCATAGATATTTGGGTGGACATATGTGTTTCTCTTTTTCTACCCATGGAATTGCATCATTGTCATCATGATAGGTGCTAAAAGAGTTATCACATTATACTTCGATAAATGTCTACTCAAGAAATCTACGATCATAGAAGAAGTACACCAATAGAGCATAGTTGGTTTACTCTAAGAGCTAAGATATTTGAAAATCGGAGAAAACTTGTGTGATCATGATCGAACAAGACTAATAACCAAGTTCAAGATCACATTATGATAAGTTGACATGAGGACTGAATTGTATGGTAACCATGCTCGTGAAAAGTAATTATAGATTAATTAATCTCCTTGAGAATTGGGTAGTCATGATGCCTTGCTAGAGATCAATCTTAACTTATATACCAAGAGATAAAAGAGGTGTCTTTTATTCTTGATATATTACCAACATATCTAGTAGCCTATTGAGTCGTATGCATAAGTTTAAGCATTCATATGATTAAATAGAAACAAATATGTTGGAAAATTTTTCCAATTATAAAGGTTTTCTATTTTGAAAAAGGTTTTCGAAAATGAAAAGTTTCCTAAAATGAAAAGTTTTCTATTTTAGATATCGGTTTCTTAATGTGGAAGTTAGCTCTAAATTTGGAATGAATAACCTAAAATGGAAATTAGTTTCCTAATATATGTTTAAGGGTAATTTGAGAAATTGTTTCCTAATGTGGCCTCTTAAAATTATTAACTTAATTTATTTGAATAGTCCAAATTAATTAATAAGACTAAAATTGTTTTAGGCCACTAGGTTTAATTAAAAGCCTAAAAGATATTTTAGTGGGAGGATAAACATGAACCTTATTGGATAAGGATGAATGTTTTATAGATAAAGATTAAAAGCTCACATGCAAAATAACTCCTAATCCTTAGAGGATTAAGAAGCAATAACTTAGAGTCATAAAGAGACTCATTGCTGCCTCTCCTTGTCCTCTAGAGGACAAGGAAGCTTCGCCCTATATATATGGGAGAGAAGTGCGGCAAAGACAAGTTTTTTTAGAAGAGAGAAAATTCAACACAATAAAAAAAAAAATAGTTAGGGCACACGGCTCAAAAAGAAAAAGGAGAAAATTTTTTTTCTTCCTAACGCTAGCATGCCACCTCCTCTCTCTCTCTTTTCGGTTGTCATAAATATTACCCCGATCGGATCTCTATAGCAAACACCAAAAAAAAAAAAAAAAATAGAGTTAGCACTCTATCAATTTTGAGTGCTTCTTTTATAGGTGCTTGAACTGTATGGATTATTAATAGAGGTCGGACACTTGGATGACTCTTTTCTACAAAAATTCAGATTTGCATTGTAAGAGATAATTCTCTATTCATTGTTTTGATTCATAAATATATGGTTAGTTCATTCAACGAAATGATCTTGAACTCTTTAGATGAAGAAAATTTTATTTTATTCTGCATCTCTATAGGATGTATGATCCTTCAAGTTTGTCTTTAAATAAACGTTTTGAGATTTTATATTATTCTTTGAAAATGATTGAAACCTATTGGCTTGAAGACGTAAATCTTCCATCAATGAAGTTTAATAGTGCAATCCCTTCTTCTATTAATTTATGATACTAAAATATTTATCGGCGTACCTGATTTGAAAGAAAAATCATAGTTTGAAAAATTCTAGTTTTATCTTTCATGCATGAGAAGAATAGTTGTTTAAAAAATAATGATTTACCAAAATTGTGAAATTTTTTGTTGTATCTTTTTCCTTGTAATAGATATCAAAAGAATAATTTGTTGTGCATTAGCTTAATATTAATAACATTACTGTTTTTTTCTTAAAAATAAAAAATAAAAAAATCATCCTTGCTATGGACCCATTTTAATCAGTCCGTAACTAGTCACTTGCCCTCATTACGTTGTGGGTCCGGTAAAAAAAATCATTTTAAAATTTAAAAAAATTTTAATTATAATTTTTTATTCACTTAATTTTTTAAAAAATTTTATGCATAAAAAAAACATAAATCATTCTTCTTTATTGATTAATTTTAAAATAAAATATATAATAATTTTAACTAAAATATTAATCAAGAATTAAAATAACTTTTAAAATATAATTTCATAATATTTTATTCCAAAAAATAAAGTTATAATTAATGGATATACTTTTACAAAATTTAACAAATGAGAAAAAAAATTCTTATTTAATGTTGATGGAAAGATTAATTTTTTAAATTATCCGCACAACACTACGAGTAGATAGAAACAAATTATTTAAAAATTTTATAATTTTTCCTTAATTTTTTATTTAATTATTATAATTTTTTTATTTTTTCATAAATTTTTTGCTTAAAAAACATGATTTATTCATTTTTAATCGAGAATTCGAAATAAAAACTTTTTGGAATAATTTAAATTTTAAATATTAATTAAGAATTCAAAAGCAAATACTTTAAAACTATATATATTTTTTATAAGAATGTATGAAAAAATAAAGTTACAATTAATGTATAGACTTGCATAAAAATTAACGAATGAAAAAATAAAATTTTATTCTTATTTAATATTGGTGAGAAGATTTTTTTTTTTCAAGCATATGCATTAGATCTATATGTATTTATTTACAAAATAATCAATAAAATTAGCATAAAAAGCTGTATTTGAATAATTAGTTGATTCCTTTAAAACATTATTTTAATTATTTTATTTCAAATAAATTTGTTCTATAATGTTAAAAAAATATTCATGGTAAATAATTTGTATTATGTTGGAAGAGATATAGTTAATTCTAAATAAAACCAACGATTCAATAGTTTTTTTTTATACGTCTTGACCATATCTAGTGAACTGAGATAAATTATTTGAAATACACTTTTGACCTTTTAGAATAAAATAATTATATATTTATATATACGCGACCATCATTTAAAAATTGTAAGAATTCATGATATATATTATACCAATTTATGTTTTTTTTTAAAAAAAACAATTATGTTTTAAAATTTTATTTTTAAAATTCAAACATAGAAAAAAATAAATTATATTTTTCAGTAAATAAAATCTTATATGAAAAATATTAATTGGATGAGAATTTTCATAAGAAATGATAAATTCAAAGAATGAAAGTTAATATAAGCTAACTATATGTTGATTTTAAAATATAAAAAGATAGCATATATATGGAAACCAATAATAAGCAAATTTTAATATAAAATTTAGAAAAAAAAATATCTTAATATTTTTTTCATTACATTGCTTAGTTGCACCAAGCAAAATTTTATAAATTCTCTAAAGTTTAAATTTATAAAGTCAAAGAAATAAATAAATCTTTTTAATAATCAGACCTTATGTTAAGACAAGTAATCTAAGAACAAAATTATGATAAAATACTTGGTATTTCCTCACTGATTTTATTATTTTATTATTATTATTATTTTTTTTTTTTGGGGGGTAGAACAACTTTAATAGATTGGTATAACCACTGTTTAAAGCAACACTTATCCAGATGAAAGAAAACTAATATAAAATCACAATTCACAAGTAACATACCATTATAACCAGAAAATGGAAATCAACGCTTGCATCCATTACATTCACTAAGAAAAATTGGTCGGCCAGAAGTGCCCCACTACCACTAATCCAACATGAACGTCATTTTTCTTTCAAACTATCCTTGTATGCAGAATTATTAAATGAAATCAGATAATTCAATTCGATTTATGATTTGGTAGGTACATCTTCGTTTCTAGAATAAGAGAATCCTATTCTTGAATGCAGAATTATTATATGAGAACAAAAAAATCAGATTATTAAACTCGATTTATGATTTGTTAGGTACTTCTTAGTTCGTACAAGAAAGAAAGGCAATATATTCAACAGCCTGCCAGAGCAACCTCTTGTCCTCTCCTCTTTATATGCATGTCCATATAAAAATCAAAACAAATTTTCCATTCTTGGTAGCAAATCATATCTCACATAGCAATAGTAAATGAGCAATGGACAGCATTTTTACCAAGGGCCTGTGCTAGGAGAGCAGTGAAAAAGGGGGAAAAACGAACACATCTAGGAAGAAGCTATATTGAACATGGGCGATTAGATCGAGAATAAGGGTGACTGCATACTAATGTTTTCAAGAAGTTTCCCTAGCTAAATTTCTGCCTTCTGCTAGTCTCCGCTGGGCAGGTGGAGCTTTCAGAGGGGTAGCCTAGTTTATAACGAGAAAACAAAGGAAAACCAAAATTATTCTTCGCAACTTGGTATACAGGCTTTAACATTGAAAATATAAGCAAAACCCAGGTATCCACATCGAGCTTAATGAACAGAACAAAACACTAAGCGCACACACCAATGTACAAAAATATTCTCTAGTGTTCATAACTTTATTCTCTCATGAAAAAGAACTCCAGATACGGGGTCTAAAGAGTCAAGTTTGGCACATAATACATGTGGTATCAAATTGATTGTCTCATGTTGATCTAAAATATTCTCGGCCAGTTGTTTCAAACACCAAACTATACCTTCCATCAAGCAGATCATGCAAATCAAACCCTGCTTTAGCTCCCTTCAACGATTTTTTTCTTGCTTGCATTGAGCAGATCATGCAAATCAAACCCTGCTTTAGTTCCCTTCAAGGATTTGTTCTTGCTCCTCCTGTATCTCACTTGAGTTCAGCACTGACCCCCCACCATTAATCTCCACTGCGCCTCCTGATTCTGATATTTTTGTTATCCTCTGTAGCTCATCAGCTATTTCTGTTGGCTGAGGTGCAGATTGATCATCTTCCGATTGTTCCTTCTGAACTAATTGTTTCGGTCGTCTGATGGCTTCAGCAGCTTCGGGCATCACGACAGGAGGTGGCTGAGGAGGGACCCATGTGCGCCTAACTGGCTGCTGGCTGGTTTGTCCACCAAAAGGTCCAGCCTTTATTTCATCGCCGTTTTCTATCTCTGTGATTCTGGCATTTTTCTGCTGCCACCAGGGTGCATTGCTCTCGCCATCTAATTGATTGATACCATTGCCTTGTACATTGGAGTTCAAACCTTCTCCACTCACTTGAGACTGAAGCACTGGGCTTGAGTTGTTTTGAGCTTGACCAACCTCCCAGGGCTACTCAGAAGGGTAAAGGAGCAGTTAGCTTTAATGTGAATTCAAAAATTCTTAAGAAGATTCTTGTTATTCAATCGTATTTTGCAACAGTAAAAAATCTGAAGATGTACTTTTCCAAGTTATATATCTCAAACCGGACGAATGAATTCTGTTTTTAAAAGTGAATTCAAACACCCGTGTCAACTTAGAGTTACATTATCTGATAGAATAAGACATGATACAGTCTGCAATACCAAGTGATAGATACAGTAGATGTCACATCAATAAATAAGGCCCTTTTTCTTTCCCTCTAATGTTAGCACTACTATTGTCAAATATAAATGGCATTCAGGAATAAGTTAATTACATATCATGTCCCACTTATAGCAATCCAGGAGTTTTAAATCAGAAGAGTGTAAGCAAGACAGTGAGATTGAAACTCTCTGAAGACTGGGTGCAGTTTCAGATTTTCATTCCTAACATGATCAATTAAATCCAAAACCATAAACTACATTAGCCTATGATTCTATTGGAAAAGAAGGAATGTGATGGAGGACGAGGACACATCTAGTCAAATAAGCATAACATTGAGGAGTTTCTTTTTCAATAATGGCAATCAGGAGTAAGTTAATTACTGCAATGCAGGGGTTTTAAATTGGAAGAGTGAAAGTAAGGACGCTCTCATCTAGACAGGTTGATGCTCTGCATCTACATGGCCCACTAAATAGAAAACCCCTATTAGCCTATGAATCCATTGAAAAAGAAGGAATGCGATGCACAATGAGAAAACACTCCTGGAATTAATATTTGACTAAATAGGAAATTTGGTTCTATATATGATTATACAGAACTTTTTAACAAAATTTTGTTATTTTATACTTAGTTGCAAAAATGGTTTTACAAGGAAAACGAATTATATTTCCTATTTGGTAGATTTTCCTATGGTTAGTTTTTTTAATTCCTACTAGATTTAGGTTTTCCTGACTTCTCTATTTAAGACATTAGAAAGGGGGCCATGAATTTTGATTGATCAATAATTTTGAGTTTTCAGAAAATTGGTTCGCTGTTTGTGATTGTTTTCATTCATTAATTGATCCTGCATTAGACTGTCAATGCAAAACTTTGAGAAAGCACACCTTAGTTCTAGGTGCTATGCGAGGATTTGAAATTTGCTGATTAGGGTTGGGTGGTTGATCATTGATATCCTGCATAAAAATACAGGATGACCAAATTAACATGTCACACAGCAAAGGAAGCCAATTTCAGTGTAAAAACTAGGTCTGACTTACTCTGATATTGGCAGGTTTCTCTCCTCTCTGGACCATCTCCATGATCTGCAACATATTACCCAAATGGTTAGCAGAATTCTATCATACGCTACTAAATTCATCAGCATTGCCAAATTGAATCTGCAATAGTTATATCTTAAGCATCAATATTTATCATTCAAGAAAATCACACAACATGGCTAGAGGGAAAAATTCAGACATCTCAGAGTGCAAACTCAAATTCCAGTTGGAATAAGGAAAATCAAGCTCATACAGTTAAGAAATCTCTAGAAAGAAGATTTGTCTGTTCAATTGTTAAAATGTTAGCCAATTTTCTTCAAAGTAGCAATGCTGACTTGGGTTACATTGCTGCAGAAGACCACAAAGTTGAAAGTTGAAACTTTCTCCTCTCCTAAGGTTCAGATTTCAGAACCCTAACAGTTTTGAAATGTTTCCAATAATTCCCACCTTCAATAATTTAACTTGAAACTGTTAATGAAGTGATTCAAATCAATTGTTTGACCCAGTAAGTTAAATATCAAAACTCTGAAACTATTACAAAATGTAGGGTTCCAACAAGTAAAAACCTTGCATCAATCCTGGAAAAAAAAATGAAAATTTATGCCACTCGTTGCATCCCTGTTTCTAATTAATGAAATATGATCCTATTCACAAAAATAAATAAATAAATAAAGTTGCATCCCAGTTTCACTCCAAAAACACCAGCATCATGCAACTATAGACCACTGGTCCACAACAAGAGGACTAATTCCAATGGATGCCAGCCTCCAATACACTTGAACAAATTTGTCACACTAGTTCTTACCTCCATATATGACTTTGGGTGTGGTGCAACAGAGGGTTCAGCAGATGTGGGCTGTGACGAAGATCTCCCTGTACACAGAACTCTGATTACATGACATGGAAATTGAAACCTATATATATATATATATATATATATATATATATAGAACAAGAGTCAAAACTGAAATCGCTGGAAAGTAACCTGCACGCAAATCAATCTCTGCCTTTCCATTTGTATATGTTTGCTGGGGAAAAAAAAAAAAAAAAAAACATTAGAGAACCTCAAATTGCTTAGCTCAAAACTTGTCTCCCAGAATTTACAATGCAAACTTTAATTCCAAATCATGAAGCTTTCAGTGCCCAGTCCACACCTAAGTTATGCTCACCTTTGGATTTGAGACTGAGGTTCTATAATCTTCTTGATCAGCAAGAGAGTTTCTCACATGGTTATCCGTTCGTCCTGACAAGGCAAGAAAAAAAAAACACCATAGATGAACAAATCTTCTGATAGTGTTGAGACATGTTTTCCACAAATCTCAAAACATTACAAGATAAAAGGCAGGAAATGAAAAGGAAGGCCACAGGTTACAGTTATTTTTCTCAAGGCCTTCTCACCAGTGTCACATGTAACAGGGCTCCCAAAACTGAAGCTAAAAGACTTTTTGCATAATTTCAATCTCACTTAATGTAATAATTTGCTTACTAAGGCACCACCTTAAGCGTTTGGGATACAACCGAGCACATTAATCGGGCAATAAGCCAGATCACTTTTTAATGCATATAACAAGAAGTTACAAGACACATAAAGAGCAACAAAATTGAGCAACATCAAACCACTCATTATCAACAAGCAACTACCACATGCAAGAGCTATGACTACTGCAGCCATTTATTTCATTCATAAATGGCCAAGAACCCAAAAATTAAAAAATAATGCAGTTCATATGAATCATTTCTTATTTTTCCAACAAGTTTTTACTTAATTGAAATGTCATATAAGCATAGCAAAATCTGGTCAAAACATACATCCTTAAACACGAACAAAACTATGCAAGAAACAAATCCTCTTGTTCTCTCTGGGTTTAACTTTAGTATTCCTGGACAAGCAACAATAGACCAGAGGCCTCATTATTTAGGTGTTCTGACTTTAGGATAATATTTTATGCCAAATTAGAGATGCATGTATTCAAAACTACAAATAGCTACAAAAGTGACATATCTACAAATGTAGATTATGTCCTGCATCTCTAATCAATCAAGTATGCAGGTTCTCACTATATATGTGTTATTTAATTATTTAGGAGTCGTGTGATTAGCATGTGACCTTTTAAATATTTTCTTGGAGGTTAAGTTATTTTACTTGGTGACCAAGACTGATGAATCCTTTTCCTTCCAGGATCTAGCACTTAACTAGCATTAATAGAATAGTAAACGAAAAACTTAAATTTTTATATGAAAGCTGCTGCAGTACACTACACCATTGTGCTACAATAACTTATCAAATTTAAACTATTGCTTAGGATTTGCTCAGGCATCCATATGGGCAACATGCACTAAAGAAATTGAAATGATCAGGCAAGACAGTGAAGACATTGCTGAATTAGTTGAAAAAGAACCAACTTTACAAATGTTTTTCAGAATTCCAGAATGAATTTTGTACAACTAGTTCAGCCTTAAAAGTCATTGAACAGGAGTGTCAAAATAGCAACTCAATCTTCTATGAATGTCTGAAAGCTGCTGTGATCATCAGCATCAAGCATTCTGCAATCCACACTCCATTTCCACCAAACAAAATGATACCTTTCTTTTAATTTTCCTCACAATCTATATGTTTGGCAAAGAGCAACATTTACTGAGGGAGCCTCACACTCTATTGCACTTAACATGTAAACAATACTGATGCCTTAATGCCTAGATGCATGTAAAAATGGCAATCATGTGCCTAGCAACCCTGAAAGCACCAGTGACAAAGAAAGTTCTTCTTCCACAAATAGACCATTGACAAATCAAAATTCTAAATAGGAACTGTTACAGACAAGGGCAACAGACAACATCTTAACAACCATACTTATGCAGCACATAGAAAGAAATATGTGCGGTTCTAATGTCAAAGCAACATCTTCTTACCTTCCAATCTATGTATGGCAGTACTCATTGACTTCATTTCCTGTACTTGTACATCTAACATATTCATAAATTCCTTGATGTATCTCTTCTCTGAAGGAAGTAAATCAAGGTTCAATGGTTACAGTGAAAATAACTGATCAGAAAGCATTTAAAGAAACCAGCGGTGGAAATGAAAAAAAATCTGTCATTGTCCCACACCTTCATTTTTGGAATTCAACATTTCCTGGCTCGCTCTTGCAACATCAGCAGCAGCAGCTGCTGCTGATCTGGCAGCTGCCGCTGCTTCTTCTGACAAACTTGGCTTTGTATTAGTTTTCTTCACACTGTCATCTTCTTCTTCCAACACAACCTTACGTATCCAAGACTTCAGCCTGGGGATAATAGATTTCTGAACAAGAAACATGTTATCGGTTTATGTCATGAAAGTGAAACAGAACCTTAAAAACCCAGTGCAGAAATTTACACAAAGATGGGTGCAAGAAGCTTACAGATGCAACCCTACACCATCTTTGAAAATGGAAAACAAACGTTAGGCATGAACAATTTGGCTGACATGACAGTGTGAATGTGGAAAGTATTTTTTGATACCTTAACTAACACAGCTGTTCCAGCACCTGAAACTGCCAGTAGCCCTACAGCATAAACAGCATGATACCAGTGAAACCGAGGTTGAGTCCAAGTCCCCACTGAAGAAATGACACCAGTAGGAGCAGCTGCTACAGGCTGCAGGGTTTGTGCTGGGCTTGATGGCTGAACATTTGGTGTTGATTTCACCTGCCCCTCTGTTTTTGTGGTAATATAGCACGAAATACAATCAGTGATGCAAGGATATACAAATCTTAGCAAACCAAAGAACTGCTTCTTGTGAAAGACAATAAACATCCTGCTTCATGCTAAGATCTTATACCTTGATTAGAATTGGTTGCCTGAATGCTTGGAGTTGGGTCCTGCAATTCGCAGAAAATATCAGAGGGATAAATGAACAGTTATGGGGAATCCATCAACCCCCCACAAGAAAAAAATGATTACACAATGTGGCATGTAAGAAAAAAAGCAAGCCAAACAAATAACTTGCTTACCGGCACACGACGAAAAGCTTCATCTATCTCTTCCTTTGTGAGGCCCTTCTTCTCAAGAAACGATCTTCTATACATAACTGGAGAACCCATAACTTTTGGGTGTGAAAGAAATTTTACAGCATTCTGCACTTGCTCCTCTCGCAGCGGTTCTGAGTTCACAAAGACAGATGCAGAACTTTGTTTGACAGCCTCTACCCCAGCATCTTGCTGATTCCCATTTGTTGGCTGTACATTCCCTGTAGCTCAAAGTTTTTTTGAATAAAAAAAAAAATTGCTATATACTTAGCATTTTTTCTATATATCCTAAACTTGAAGTAATTTAACTCTATAAACAAATAACCCCTCGATTGTCACCTAAACAATCAGGTTGTACACAAACATTTACATCATCTTTGATTAGTAATTCATAAACAAAAGAAACAGCAATCAATTGCAATTGTAGTTATGCATCCAATAGCTTTATGATAAAAAACCTCACCACAACTTCTCATTCCGCATCCAATTGTAGTTAGTCAACTCCTTTACAGAAATGAAATTGACTATTAATATGCCACTTTATTGGTGAGAACAACAATTTTAGAATACTTTTAGGTCACATTTGGTTAACCCAATAATTGGAATGGAATTGAACAGGGCAAGGCTAGAGTTCTGATTTCATTCCAGCAACATTTCTATTAACCTTTTTTTCAGTAAAATAAGATTTCTGCATTTAATTTGTCTCAAATAAAAATATCTCATCTTTTCTGAATTCCAATCCTTATTAACAATCACAAAAACAGAGTGCAAAATTCAATAACAAAAAAAGGAAAATGAACTGTAGCATAGTTAAAGCATTAATTAATTAATTAATTGAGCAGCAAATCACATAGTTAGAATAACCTATAAGCTTAAAAACGACATGAAATTAAAAGGATAAGAAAATCTAACCTGGATTTTGATCGACAGGATTTGAAGGAGGAGGAGGAGGCTCCGATGATTGAGTCGCCATTCTCAAACCTCCTCCGCTGACTGAATTTTGAAACGCAAAAAAACAGAAAATTAAATAGAGAGAAATAGAAGGGGGGAAAAAAACAGATAGAGAAAGAAACAAAATTTATGAACCTGAATATAAAGAGGATGACGATGACGTTGATGGTGTCTGTCAGTGAGAGTTAGTTTTTGCTCATTTCGAAGCTCTGCTTGCTATCACTTGCTTTTTATCTTGGTAGTTGAGAGTTTATTTTATTTTTATACCAAAAAAGAAGACAGAGGTAATCACAGTTTAGTACTTATAGTTTATCAACACTGAATAAATAATCCTTAAAAATTAATTAAATCATCGCTTGACCAATCTTGACCGTACCTCCACTTAGTATATCTTTTCATCATCAAATTTTACCATCTTATTCAATTTTCTAATATATATATTTGAAAAAATATGAAATTGGTAAAAGGATAAAATCATCATAATTGAATTTAAGCACATTAGGATTAAATATATAGTTTTTAAAATATCAAGATGAAGAAATTACGTTTATTAAAACTACAAGGACTAAGTTGTAATTAACTCAAAACAGACATCAAGGCAGAAGCGGTGCGGAAAGGCAGATAATAATAAATTAATAATATATTTGTTCTACAAAAAAGAAAATAACACATACTTCATCACAGTCTTATCCTTCTGGCTTTGATTGAAAACAGCAAAGAAAAAGGGGAAATGATTGGCAATGGATTTTTATTTTTTACCAATTTTAAATACTTTCATGGGCTACTTTCATTTAGCCCACGAGTTTTGGGTTTCTTTAATAAAATTGGGCTACCCCGAGACAACTATTATTCTGACCTCTATCCTACGTTGAAAACAAGTGGGCAACCTGCGCAGTTGTTTTGAACTTTTTGACGATTTTATTGTTAAACTTATTACAAAGAGAAACGGCATTGCCATGCTATTAGGTGAATACGATTTTTTTATTTTATTTTATTTTTTCATGTTTGCAAACTGAGCCCAAATTGTGATTAGTAAGCAAATAACCATATATTGAGTATTTTGTAACAAACTATTAAATAAATTCAAATATATATGACAATTATTTTTTTTATGAAAAACTAATTGTTTAGAATTTGTAGGAGCTACGTTTTACTTTTTATAAGTGGACACATAAATTTGTATTGAAATTGAGTATGAAAAGTTTGTTAGTAAATCATCTTTTTTTAAGACAACATAATCATGATAAAAGACAACTTTATTTGATGATATTTTTTGCTCTGAACCATTAGGGTTGTGGCTTGAGGCATGTGCTATTAATTTTTTCAATTTTATCTATGAACTGCTATGTTTTGGGTAGAAATTATCTCTCCGATTGATTTAATCACTACCATTGGTCAAAAACTCACTTAATTTTTGATATTTTAAGCTGAATTTTTTTTCATATAAGCTAATAAAAATTTAATTTACTTTAAAAATTAATTTCAATTTTTTTTTTTAGGTCAAGAAGTATTTTTTTTTTTTGTTTTTCTAAACATTAAATATTTAAAATTTTGTAAAAAAATAAAAATAAAATAATTTGGAATGATTCCAAACTTTTTTAGAGAGTGTAAAAACTTATATAAATTTATATTTTCAAAAAATTAGTATGGTCGAATGCATAATAATTAACTAAGTTTAAACTAGGATAATTTATGAATCATATATGTAGTCATTTTGATTACAACACTAAAATTAGCTATGTAAATTCATATGACTTCCTTGGAGCTCTCAAAAAAATTTGAGATTATTTGGGCTTATTTTCTATTTTTTCATAATTTATTAAATTTTGATTATTCAAAAAAAAAAAAAAGGGAACTTTCTAGCCTTAAAAAATATTAAAATGATTTGTGAAAGTAGATTGAATTTTATTGGTATATATGAAAATGCCAAAATATAATTTTTTTAGAATAAGTTTTGATCAACGAGTCAAAGTTTGACCCATTTATCTAAGAGTTAAATCAAATAAAGAAACAATATTTACCCAAAACATGATAGTTTAGGAAAATATTGACCAAATTAACAATGTAAGCATCAATATGTCACAGACTCAATAGTTTAACAACAAAAGTTATCATTGAACCAAGAACAATTAAACATGTATATGCTATTTAAAATTGTGAAAGGTATCATAAAAATCCACTAGTCACTTTTTTGAAAGATTGTAAAGTCCATAATATCATTTTATTGGACTTAATAGATTACAAAATTTGTCTTTTGTCATAAGTTTACCTTTTTTTATACATAAATAAACATTCCATCAAACTTTCACATACAAATACATACCTACATGTTAACCTTATGATGTTATGGCTATCAAAAAAAATTAATAGAACCCTATATATAACTTAATACTGTGACACTAATCGTTTTTCATGCTTGCATAGGTTCGTTTATTTATTTAATTGTTATTATGATTTTTATTTTCATGATGTTCAAAAATGAAAGTAAATACTTGAATATAATTAAATTATTCTATCTTACTTTCATATTGTTGTAGGAAAATCTTTTGAGAATTTTAACAATAATATTATTTAAAATTGCATCAAATAAGATGTAGCGATTCATGCCGATGAGGTCTCTAATTTAACATGTTGTCTTCTTTTTTTTTCCCTTCTTTATGTGTCTCTTTTGATTTGATTTACTATAACCTTTTATTCTACAACTACATTATGATTTGATGTGAGCTTTGTTTTGTTTTGTTTTTTTTTTTTTTGGTGGTAATAAGGCGAAAGATAATATTTTAATTTTTTTTTACATGAAAAATGACAATTAGCTGAAATCAATATGAAAGTTGTTGTATAAAAATACTTGTTTGTTGGCATCCATTGCTTTGTGTCTTTAATTTTTGTTCTTTTAAATTATTTTATGAAATTGGGATGATTTCATTTATTATTGATAAAAAAAAATTGAAGATTTGACTTCAACTTTAGCAAATTTTACACAAGTTAGAAATAGATTTGAATATGCTTTTAGGAAAACAAAAATGCGATTTCAAACATATTGTTTTATGTTTGATTTTTTATTTTATTTTATTTTTTCTATCCTTGCATTTTTTTTTTATCAAGTTACATACCAAGGTAACAAATCTTCATAAACATTGTTTTACCTTTATTTCTTTTCTTAAAAGTTTCATAAATTACTTTTTCTTAGCATTAACACTTGCACATAAATCCTTAAAACTCCATTAATGTTTAAATTTTGTTTTCTTCTTGACTTTTCTTTCTTTTACTCCAAGTTTCATACTTTTATTTTTCTAACTAAAGCATGAAAATGTCTTTTTACTATTGATTTGATTCACCGATATCTTTTTAGTATTATTTTGATTTATTATGTAACAATGGTTAGTGTTGGACACATGGCATTCAATCAAGTTGTCGAGTGTCAAAATTTAAATTAGATTTTTTTTTAATCGTTGAGTAACAAAAACTAAAAAAAAAAAAAAAAAAAGACATGAAAATATAGTTAAAAACTTTAGTAAATTTCTCCAAAAGATTTTTTTATTTTTTTAATAATTTATTATGTAGTGGTAAAAACAAATTTAAGTTCAAAATTGGACTCGTGGTAGTCTTACTGAACGCCATGTGTCCAACACTAATCATGATTAGTTTGCTACTTAACCGAAGGATATAATAAGCTAAGAAATTATAGTAGAGTGACATAATAAACCAAAATAATTGTAAATGGACATAGTGAACAAAATCGATATAATATAGGGACAATTTCATGCTTTAACCCTTTTTTTTTAATTTCCTGGGCATTAAAGCCTACACAAAAATTCTCAAAAACTTTATGAATATATTTTTTAATATACACAAATAGAATGAGGGTCCCATTCATAAACAAAAAAAAGTCAACATTCACTCTTTCAAGATAGTAAAGAGGGGTTGAGCATTCTCCGATAAAACGACGATCTATACTTCTCATAAATACAAAACTAACCTAAACAATCAGTTTCATTGATACATTTTAAGAATATCATTTTGGGCTCGATCACCTAATAATAGACCATCATTTTAGCTTCAATCACCTAACAATAAGCCATCATTCCAAGCTTGGTCATCTAACAATAGAACATCATTTCAAGCTTGGTCATCTAATAATAGACCATCATTTCTAGGTAGGGTTGTCTAACTTAGTTAATTGTTTTAGGCAAGGTTGCCTAACGATAATTTCTTTTATTTTAGGCAAAGATGCCTAACTTATTTCATCATTTTAGGCAAAATTGCCTAACGATAATTCTTTATTTTATTCGGGGTTATCTAATTTAGTTCAACATTTTAGGCAACGTTATCTAGCGATCATTTCACATTTTTAAGTAAGATGGTCTAACTTGGTTCATCATTTTAGATAAGGTTGCCTATCAATAATTTTTTATTTTAGAAAGGGTTGCCTAATTTAGTTAATCGTTTTAAGTAGGGTTGCCTAGAGATAATTTCTATCATTTCAACTAGAGTTGTCTAACTTAGTTCATCATTTTAAGCAAAGTTACCAAGTGATAATTCTTCATTTTAAGTAGGGTTGCCTAATTTAGTTCATCATTTTATGTAAAGTTACCTAGCGATCATTTCTTGATTTCAAGCAAGATTGCCCAACTTGGTTCATCATTTTAGACAAGGTTTCCTAGCGATAATTTTTCATTTTAGATAGGGTTGTCTAATTTAGTTAATCATTTTAGGCAAGATTGCGAATTTATTTCATTTTAGACAAAGTTTTCTAACTTAGTTCATTGTTTTAGGCAAGATTGTCTAGCAATAATTATTTATTTAGGAAGGGTTACGTGATTTAGTTCATCATTTTAATTAAGGTTTTTCAACGATCATTTCCCATTTTTCGATAGGGCTACTCGACTTGATTCATCATTTTAGGTAAAGTTATCTATCAATCATTTCCTATTTTTATCTAGGGTTGTCTAACTTAGTTCATCTTTTTAAGAAATGTTACCTTACAATAATTCTTTATTTAGGTAGAGTTACCTAACTTAG